ATTAACCAAAACCTAACATAAAAAAAATTAAATTATAATGAGTAACTGTAATTTCAACTTTTCAAGAGTATGAAATTATAATTTTTTTCAATCACTCAACAAAATTAACTATAAATATAAAGAGAATAGAGAAACAAAAAGTTAAGAATATGCTCTAGTGCCCCTTGCTTTGAATCAAATTGACCAAGAGAGAGAGAAGCAAAAAAAATTGTCTTCTTATGATTTTAGGAACCACTCACCCATCACATTAATAAATTGATAAAAAAAACTCTAAAAAATTAAATTTTTTAAGTTTTGAATACTAACTTAAATACCTTTCACCTTTCTAGGTTTCCAAATTGTCTACTCTCTCCTTTACCATTCTCCTTTAATCTACTGCATATGAGTGACGAGGGCTAGTCGGATGGGAGAAGAATTAGGATTTTTTTTTTTTTTTTGGTTCTGCCGTCAATCGTCCCCCCCTTTTCCCTCGAAAATTGCTCTATTTTTTTAAAAGGGATAAGGAAGACTAGGATTTTTTATTGTTGGGTTTGGGTTTTGATGGGTTGAGGTTTGGATTAAATTGTTAGTAGGCTGAAGATTTAGGTTTGGGCTAGATTTGTTGGTTTTTTTTTTTTTGTTCTTTCTTTCTTGATGAATTTCACCGTTAACTTTTAATTTCTTCACAAATTTTCAAAGTTCAAAGAGGATAAGATAATTTTTCATATACTAATTTACAAAATTTTCAAGTTTCAGGAGGGGTGAGCGCCCTCCTCGCCCCTTTTCCCTCCGCCACTGGATATAGCTACTTCAATAACTATCTTTCAATTGCAATTCTATACCACTACTCGAAGCCTAGAGAAAAACAACAAATAAACGTAACTTAATCATTAAATAAAATTTAACTAGTGCTACTTAACCATTATAGGAACTAATGCCAATCTCTCACGTAATCCGTGTCTTACTTTCCCACTTAGTTTAGTTTCTGCACCCACTATCACAATTTCCTCCAACTAAAACAAACCCACTATACAAATCCTTGTCTCATCTACAAAACATAATATGCAATTCACATGATGCAACCTTATATACTATATATTTTCCCCTCCTTTTGCTATATCTCAACAATCCCAAAATTTCTCACCCAAAGTCAAGCTGCATTCTTACCATTTACTATCGTAACACAAAACTAAACATAATGAAATTCTCATACCTTGTATAAACAATGTTCTTCCTCCCTATGAAGTGCAGAATTATGATTGCAACAGAACTACCCACTCAATTTCCCCTTGAATTAGATCAAAAATTGCCAAAATCCCCTCTAGGTTGCACTCCTTTTTCCATTGAGAAGCTGCGATCCTTATTCTGAAAATAAACTTTCAGCCTCTGTTATACTATTTTTAGGTTTCTAACAAAAAGAAATTTACAACCTAACCCCTGTGATATTTTTACAACTTAACTAGTCCCTAAGGATTTTTTACAACTTAATCCTTGAACTCCTAACCTCATTATAGTTAAACCCCTTATTCATTCCTATCACATATACATCCTCTAAGGCTTAAATAATTTATTTAAATCTTTAAATCTTTAAATTATTAATATTAATAATAATAACAATAATAATAATAGTAATCCTTAGTATTACAGTGTGTGAACTAGATAGGATGACTTTGTTTTTTAAGATGACGCGAAACAGTTCAACGAAGAAAAAGGAGCAAAATGATATATTATACCTGGATAAAGAGATGATTTTTTAATTACTCAATAATATTAATAACAAGCAACTGTGCTGCGCCATGTGCAGTGGAGTTAATAATTTTATAAAAATATAAAATTATGTTTTAGTTGTGCTTAAAAATTTTTAAAAAGTATTAGTTGCATTTTTTTTTTTATAAAGAATTTAAAAACATGTGTGCATTGTTTGAGCATTAATAAAGTGTGTCCTATTTGATTATAATTACCTATTGCATGTTTTAAAAGAATGTAACTTTTATAATACGAAAATGTGTGGATTAATATTTGTATTTGTGTTTAAAACTAATTCAATCAAATGTAGATTTAGCTAATAAAGAGTTGCTATTAATGGAATTCATGATTCATTATAATTGTTATCGTTATAATTATTGGAGTATATTACAATAACAAAAAATAATTACTCTTGTAATCTAAATTACACTAGATTGTAAATCAATTACCAATGGATTGGGGGAGAGCCTCTTATTTTGGGCCCTCCTCCCTCATCTTAGGGTCTTGATTTTATAATCTAAATTGTAAAATAGGTTACCCTTATGATAATAATTTAATAAAGAGAAAATGAATATAATCTTATTTTATATTATTTTTAATTTAAAATTATACAATACGAGATAATTTATGTTTTATTTCTTAACTGATCTCACTACCATTACATTTAACTTAAATCCTACTTTATTAATTTCCAATAAAAAGAAATCTTTGTTACACCACTAAGTTTAATATTAAATTTAAT